ACCATCTCTTCGTGGTCACCCTCTGAAGCTGCATAAGCCCAGAGCTGACTTTCGTTTATCACGCAAGGTCATCGAACCATGGAATGCATTAGCTAGCGAAGTAGTATTAGCGCCAACGGTGAAGGAGTTTGAACATCGACTCGCCGCCCTTGGGTTGCAGTTTCAGACCTTTCCTTTTGATCCTTAACTTCTACATCCATTTCCTTGGCTTCTCACACCTATTACTATTACTGTCTTATCCACACATTCTCTCCTGTACTACAGTTATCATTATTGTTATTTTTTGTTTCCTTTCTGTTAGCCTTTATTTTTATTCACGTGGCCGGTACAGCGGGGACTGCTAGTGCAGGCCGCGTGGGCATTGATTGGTTGACCGTGATGTGATTCGTGTGTATCGATTTGGCTCTTCTCGGTTTCAAATCGCTCCTGCAAACTCCATCCTGGTTTAACGACGCATTGAAGAAGGAACACACATGGGCATTTTCCTACCGTTCCTGTCCAAATTGAACTTGAACTTGAACTTGCACTGTACCAAAATCGTGAAGCGTTCCATATATTTTTTTAGGCGTCGTACACCCCGGCTTTACACTCCGGCGACAACTGGAAGAAGGCCGCAAGCAGAGATTTCCGCATGTTATGGTTAATACGACGTTCTTTCGGAGCCTTGACGGGCGGCATCTTTACGAGACTGTTCTCGGCTTTCGTTCGGCCTCATCTGGAATACTGCGTCCAGGCTTGTCCGCCCTGCCTCGTCAGGGACAAAATGGAGCTAGAGAGGGTTTTACGCGTGGGTACTGGGTTAGTCGATGGACTACTGGGACGGACGTACCCAGAGCGTCTACTTAGTTTGGGGATGCATTCAATGCGCTACCGAAGGCTTAGAGGAGACCTAATCCTAACCTACCGTATCTTAACTGTGAAGGTTGGTCCAAATTTATCTTGGCTATTTAGTCCCGCTAGATTGTCTGTTCTACGCGGTCACTCCTTGAAGATGGACAAACCGCGGTCCGAGAGGGTTAGGGCGAAAATCCGGCTGTCACGCAGAGTCATCGAGCGCTGGAACATGCTTCCGGAAAGTGTTATCATGGAATCTACATTTAAGGGGTTTGAGCGGCAACTTGACACTTGGGTGGCAACACGAAACCTTTCCATTTTCCTGAGTAATTCGCATCTTCGTACTTCGATTTTCTTTTCTCTACTTTTCTTCACGCATTAGTATCATTTTCTTATTCCAAGTGCACTTCCTTATTCTGTACCTTCGATTTCTCTTCCTATCCTTTGCTTACTTCACGTGACTGCCACAGCAGGGACTGCTAGGGCAGGAATCATGGGCATTAACTGGTTGGCCAGGATGCGATACGGGTGTTCCGTTTTAGATCCATCAATAACTGAGCACTTCATCAATTCCTGGCTCAACGACCCACTCAAAATGGAACACTCACGGGATTCTCCTATCGTATCAGTCCCAACTGAACTTGAACTTGAACCAGGCATCCGTCACGGGCAACACTTTAATCGCTTATGGTTAGATGGTCGCTCCGGTTAGTGGTTCCCCATCTCTTTTGCCGGGGTGTCAGGTGGTTTTTAATCACGTGCAGAACTAGAACATCCCGGAACGTTCGGCATCGATGCGGTAATCGTTAATAATCAATTACTCGCTAAAATATTGGATTTCCTAGGCAATTCTTACTTTCTCCCGGACACCTCTTCTGAGATATCGTCCGAGGTATAAGACGAAAGCCTAGGATTAACTTACAGTCTTCGGGACGGTGTTCTCTGCCTGTCGGTCCATCTCCTTGGCAGAAGCGCCCGGGAACTTTGTTCCGATGTCCGTGTTCTGGCTTCTTTGCTCGGCAGGTTGAAGCTCTCCACCAGTAAATCGAACGGGAGGTCAGTATGCCTTGTTTGTTCTGGTTGGAACAATGTGATCCGTAACTGGTTTGCATGCCGTGGCCAGATTTGTGCGCCCACCATTACGGCATACATGACGTTTCCGCGCTTGCTTTTGATCGTCCCTGGCGTCCATTTCGCATGGTCTTCCCGATAATCACGTACTAGCACCTTCTGTCCAAGCGTAAACGATCGCTTCTTTGCTTCATGCCGCCGGTTAAAATCCTGTTTCATTCTGCGGTTTCTTTCATCAACGGACACTCCGAGCGCGGTCGGATGGCGTCGAAAGGCATGCGGAGCTTCCGCTTCATCATGGCCTGTGCTGAAGAAACTCCGTCTGGCGCTTGTGAGTTCGGTGTTGATCGGTAGAGGAAAAGGAACCGGGCAACCACCTCCTCTATACGTCCTTCACCTTTTGATTTGTGGAGAGCTCGCTTGAATGTATCAACAAACCTTTCTGCCTGGCCATTCGACTGTGGGTGAAACGGCGGTGAGCGAACGTGCTGTACGGCGCATTGCTTGCAAAACTCCGTAAACGTTGATGAAGTAAATTGTGAGCCATTGTCAGTGACAATTGTCTCAGGACAGCCGAATCTACTAAAGGTTTGGCGCAGTTTCGATATGGTACCATTTGTAGTTGTGTTATCCATAAGAAATACTTCCGGCCACTTGCTGTATGAATCGACTATAATGAGGAAACTTCTTCCGTTGATCGGTCTTGTAAAATCGATATGGATACGGCACCATGGCTTAGTAACTTCTGGCCATGAATAGAGTACTGATTTTTGTGGCGCTTTCGAGACATTGGCACACTTTTGGCAGCGTTTAGCTATTTCTTCTGGCTGTTTGTCCATAAAGGGCCAGTATACAAAACTGTGGGCAAGCACTTTCATCCGGTTGATTTCAGGATGCCCGGCGTGAAACCTCCGAATAAGGCTTTCGGGGTGAGCACTTTTTCCGAAAATAGCATGCAGTCGTTTACAATAGAGAGCGAGTGTCTCCTCTGTAAGTACTGTTGCAACCCGGCAGATGGACATGAACGTGGCCAACTTGTTTTGTGAAATTGTGTAACCTTGGGTATTGGGTCCCGAATTGTTTCGTTTCGTACAGCTTCTGCGGTAACTGGTAGACCGTGCAATGCATGTTACCAGAAAGTTGACGTCAGATTCAATCTCGACCGAGGCAATGATTGTGTCCTCATGTTCTTACCTGCGGGCATCAATTAGGCGTGACAGTGCATCCGCTTGGCCACTAGAAACTTTCGACTGGTATTGGATCTCGAAATCATACCCCATTAACGTAAGAGCCCAACGTTGTAGCCGGTTGGCTGTATAGGCCGGGCTGCCCTTTCTCGAACCAATGATAGCCAGCAAGGGCTTGTGATCTTTCAGAAGCTTGAAGCGGCGGCCGTATAGCATTTTGTGGAATTCCTTGACTGCGTACAGTATGGCCAGTGCTTCTTTCTCAATCTGGCTGTAATTCTTCTCGGCCTTCTTAAGTGTTCTGGCGGCATGGGCGATTGCTTTCTGAAATCCATCGGTGTACCTGTGTGATATTACTGCACCAATCCCATGGCTTGATGCATCTGTGGCTAAGACAATCTCTTTGGAGGGATCAAAGTGAGTCAGAAGCAAGTTTGAGGACAGCAGCGACTTGACCCGTTCGAAGGCATTCTGGCATTCTGATGTCTAGTTCCATGTTTGGCCTTTGGCTAGTAGCTTGTTTAACGCGGCACGCAGGCGGTGCATCTCAGGCAAGAATGCGCTGTAGTGGCTGATGAGCCCACAAAATGAACGCAAGGACTGTAGATTTGTTGGTGGAGGTATTTTTGAATGGCTTCTATGTTTTCCGGATCTGGTCGACGTCCATCCTTTTCGAGGATAAAACCGAGGTATTTGATGAGCGGCGTGAAGTGTGCATTTATCTTCACGGATCCGGAAACCGTACGACTGTATACAACCAAGCACTTCATCCAGACGGGTACATGGTTCTTCTGGTGTTCGACCTATCATTATAATATCATCCAGATATGCAGCGGTTCCAGGCACGCCCGCTAGCATGGTATCCATTAACTGTTGGAAGATGGCTGGCGCCGTTTTCACACCGAACGGTTGTATTGGAATAGCCCACGATGAGTCTTGATCGTCAACAACTCCCTCGAGACTTCGTCAACCACCACTTGAAGATAAGCATCGGAGAGATCGAGCTTAGCAAAGTACTTACCACCATTCAGCTTTGCAAAGATATCTTCCGGTACAGGTAATGGGTACGGGTGGTCGTCCAGCGCGGCGTTGAGGCCAGTTGAGAAGTCAGCGCAGACACGTACCTTGCCATTTGCTTTCTTCACTGCGACAATAGGTGCGGCCCATGATGAGTAGTTGACGGCTGTGATGACTCCGGCACGTTCCAGTCGATCGATTTCTCGATCAACGGTTGACATGGCTGCGTATGGTACCTTCGGTTGGGCTAGAAGTTTTGTGAAGCAGTAAATTGTCATTTTTGGAATTGCGTCTGGTGAGATTATAACAGTTTACTCATTGGCTAGCCAATCAGCGGCATATGACCAATCTTCTCCGGGCTGCTTCAGACAGAGACCTGACTTGGAAGACTGCTATGGGCGGCCTCCTTTAACAGCATGGCATAGAAGCTTGAAGAAATTGACAGATTTGGTCAGACTGGTGCGTGCCGTCTTCACGAATGGGGGCCTCGGGGCGGTGCACACCAATGGTTAGATACCGTCTCTGACATGCCGCGGTCACGTGGTCATTGACGTTCTTGCACTCGGTTTCTTTCATCTGGTCGTTTATTTTCGCTCCATTTTGCTTAGTCCACCGCCTTTGCTTCTTGCTTTCATTTCCTCTACACTTTGCACCCAGCCCCACCATCTTACCGGTTATTTATTGATTTTTTACGGTGTGAGTCGTGGCAACTGGATCCACTGCACTTCGGTGCTCCGATCATGGTTGATCAGCTGAACTTAACTGAACTTGTTTCTCTACCTTTTTATAGTCGAGCGGCGGCATTTTGTACTGTTTATCATTTATTCCTCCATGCATAATAAATCAACTGCGAGTCACTGCGCCATATGCTGGGGCTGAAGACTGACTTGAATGTCACTAGGATCAGTGAGTCACCGCTGCCTGACGCACGGAGACTCCTTCGTTAGCAATGTTTTGCCTGGCACAGGCACATCAAATTGCTCTGCGTCTGGGTGGTTCAGTATTCAGTTGTCAACTCACTTCCCAGTTGTTTATTCGATGCTTTTGAAAACGTCATTCAAACAACGCACAGGCGCCCGATGTTCCCAGAACTACTGACTAATTTACGGGTCATTTCCCTGATAAGTTTTGTGCATCTTCAATACATCACACTAGTTCCCGCCTTCATTTTAGTCTTCCCCATGTGATGTCTGGCTCAGAAAGTGTCAAAAACACCATCGGCCACCATGTATTCGCTTTATCGAAGCTTTTTGGGCAGGTTCACACCTTAGGATATTCAGTTATCTTGCAGTCTTGACTCAACCACAGACACTCACATGCTCGATTATGCCAACAAATTAGAACAGAGTATCGGCACTTTCGGTGCCACGCAGGTGAGCTCCTCGTCTTCCTTATACGATTACAGATTAATCATCAATCCCTCCTGGATGTTATTTGCGAAGGCAATCCGCAAGCTGATGCCCTGATACAGAAATTTAACGATCTCAAATTGAGAAAGTAAGTATATTCCCTTTGTCATTTAACTTGCAGTGCTCGTGAGCTCGTGCCTTGTGTATACATGTATTCACGGCTTAAACGAGATTCTCACTTACTGTCTGTCTTGGACCAGATGTGTGACACGAAACGTGTGGATAGATTTGATCGCGATAACGTTAAATCGCCAGATTTAGCATTTGCTCGACAAGTGAGTATACTGTATTTCTGTATTCGTTTCTGTACTGCTTTTCTTTTGTATAGCATCGAACCGGTAAGTATTGTGCTGTGGCTGTATAATGACCTCTGTTTGTACTACCACGATTTGCGTTCCTCCGCTATTATTCCACGACTGTCCTTAGAATGAATCCAGTTGAATTCCTTTCCTATTGTTTGGGATTGTTCTCTCTGTTGGTGTTGCGGATGCCCATCTCTTTCTGGATGCCATAATGTCACCGAAACGGCCCGCTCCACCAACTGCGTTCCCCCGTAAGGCGTGTTGGCACTTGTCATTGTTTCACTTCATCGAGTACAGCCCCAAGATGGCAAATATGCGATACAGCAAAACTCAAGTTGACCCATTAATTGGCTGGATTAGTCTGGGACTTGTTATTTTCCTGGATGAAGTCTTTCGAGGTCAGATGAAGGCCCTTCAGTCTTGTGCTTCCTGTCTCTCTCAATTCTTTCCCTATGTACTCTGTACGTTTTCATCGGCCTGTCTAGTCTGAACAAGTGTAGTGACATGAGCGAAGACAACTTGATGGATCTCACTCCAATATGATTCTCTCGTGTCCTTTTTAACCTGAACTGAATGCTGCTTTCTCGACTCGCTTTGACCGCTCTCCAGCTGCATGACTTAGTTTACACAGGTCCATTTTAATGCACAATAAGCACGATCTGGAGATATTCGTTAATTTTTCATTCTTCAACATACGCTCACTATTCTTGTGCCCATTCAGGCGTCTACCCCTCTCCAGCCAGCACGCTCGTCCTCGCTTTGGCAGGCATGTCTGAGTTCAAATTCAGTTTTAGTTTCTCTAACTTTGTCCACTGGGGGCGGCAGTATATTTTTAATGTTTATCGTTTATTCATCCATAGAGCGTGAATCAATTGCAACAAAGAATCGCTGATTCAAGTACACTCCTCGGAAGCACTCTTAGATCTGTTGGGAGCGAGCGGATTGCCCGCTCCGTTCTCACTGGCACTTTAGATGACTTCTCCGTTTCAGACGCGCCTTTGGATCCCTATTCTAGTTCGGACCATGGTGTACCGATCCCACGAACTGCAGACCCTGGTGACGCAGCCGCTTCTACCACCGTTCGCCGAAACCCACCATTAGCCGACAGTGCTCTGCGCCATCCGGTACAACCTAAATGGCTGTTTGAGCGTTGCAGTTTGTGGAATGACTTTTTACCACCGATGGACTCGGGTTCGGAGGTGAGTGCAGCCTTCTCTTTTAATGCATTGTATTAGCATCCGTATCACATCTTCCACCAATGACATTAATACTACTAAAGCATACAGAGAATGCTTTGATTAACAGCGTGACTTATAAACAAAGCGAACGCTCGTTTTTTGTCTCTATGCCATTCTAGGCGTACAAAGTTTCGTTTGCATGGCCCCCACTTTTTTTTATCACTATTCGTCGCTTCCAGGTCGCATTTTATTCTTGGCGCATTTCCCCTTGCTTAATGATCACTACTACCATACTTATTGGGACATTTATTTTTCTTCATAGGGACATCCCCTATAGGTATTCTTCTGTCTTATGAAATAATATGACTATTCACTATGCAGCGTGTGCCTGCAATTTGGTTTCACCATTCACGTTTTCTCAGACGAATTTCTAACGGGAAATTTTCGATTTATCAACGATATGATTGACCATTTTATGTCTCTATACTTTATGGTCGCATTTTGCTCTTACGAAATGTATCATTTGACGGAAATTTGGGTGTACCATTTTGACAACTCTCTCGTATGCCGCCATGCTTTGCCACGAATATGGCCTTAACGCGTTAAAGAGTGGACCCTTCTTCATTCATGGATTGTTAAGACTTTTTTAACAAACGAGCACCAGGAGAACTGCGGACTGCAGTGATTTAACACGATAAGTCAGGTCACTCTCAATCGATTTGGATGATGTGACTATATATATATGTATATGTATATATGTATATATATATATATATATATATATATATATATATATATATATATATATATGGCTGGCGGCATCCGGTTTCGGATTTGCCTGTCACTGTGGCCAGCCACAGGACGCCCGCGCCTACAGAAGAACCATGCGTGACTTGTGCTGCACCACCCACAGCTCCAACCACACCCCATATCCAGTGTAAACCCGAAGGAATAAGATCGGGAGGCATGTGGATGGGAGCCACGTTTATTCAACGGAGCCGGCCCACACTCCTTCACAGGCAAACACAGGTACGCTAAATTTGGGAATCAAGCGCACACACAAGGCGGTGGCTGGACCGTAGTCCGCTCCACACTGAGTGAATGGAACCACTCTTTGATCCTAACACGGCCACAAGGACTGTGCACCCCGTCCCGTACGGCAACGACCAACTGTCTCCTGGAGCCAGTATGGACGAGGTAGGGGTTACTAAACAGGTAGGCACCTTGTCAACATGCACATCAAGCGCAGCCACACCGGGGATATCAAGCAACAGCCAATCACTTGAGAGAAAGTTAACAAATCAAATAAATCGAATAATGCATACAGACAAGGTGACGTAACTCATCACTAAATGAGCATTTGCAATGTAATGGTTAAGAACTAGTCCGCGATAAGTTCAAGACGTCAAAAAAATGTATTTACAGAAAATGCAACAAACGCGAAAGTGTTATCGAAGTTAAGGACAATTAACTTGAGCAACGTGCGCAAGTTTATAGAAGGTTGTTCACGAAGGCAGTAACGAGACAATATAGCAAACTCATCAACCAACCAAAATGCAACAGCGCGCGACTGACGACTGTTCGCCCACGACTCGGAAGCGGTAAGTTTGCCACCTTTATAAGCACGTACGGTCCGACCACGTGTTATCCTGATGACACTCGTGATCAATTCTACACTCAGCTATCCTCCGTGATACGGTCTGTGCCGAGGAGTGACCGACTATTTCTGCTGGGTAATTTCAACGCGCGCGTTGGGCGTGATGCATCGGTGTGGACAGATGTCATCGCTCCGCATGGCATTGGTTCAGCGAATACGAACAGTGACAGGTTGCTCTCACTGTGTGCCACTCACGGCCTGACGATCAGGAACACTCGGTTTGCACTGAGTGCGAGTGATATAGCAACTTGGACGCACCCATGGAGTGGTCACGCTCACCTGCTCGACTGTGTCATCGTACGTCAGTGTGATATGCGTGAAGTGCGCATGACACATGTACTGCGTGGAACTGAGTGTGGCACTGATCACAAATTGGTGCGGACCAAACTGTACATATATTTTCGTAAATCTATGTATTGCACTCTCACCGTAAATCGGCGTGAATGTAACGTTCTCTCCCTCGGTACTGCGGCGAAACGTATTGAACTGGAGAAGGCGATGGCTGCACGCCTGTGTAATGTGGACTGCATAGCCACAGTGGGCGACCTGTGGCACCACATACGCGACCAGGTGACAGCTGCTGCCGAGGAGACTATCGGGCGTGCAAACTGTAGGCGGCCTGATTGATTTGATGAGAACAATGGGACGATTGGCGCATTGGTGTCAGAGAAGAATGCAGCCTTTGCTGCACATGTGGCAGACCTCAGTGACTTGGGGAAGAGTAGTCAGTTTCGCAAACTTCGACGGCGACTGACCCGATAGCTCCGTCGCATAAAAAATGCGTGGTGGACTGAGAAGGCGAAGCAGATGGAATGCTACGCCGAACGCCGCCAACACAAGGAATTCTTTGACTTTGAAGGCGGTGTATGGACCGAGATTGGAGCCGCTGGGGACGCTGATCGATGGTAGTTCAGGCGCTACCTGCACACAGACTGTAGACATAATGCAGATCTGGCAAAAACACTTTACTGCCTGTTGAACAACCGTTCAGAGATCGACTGGCCTACATTGAACGGCCTGAAGCAGCACGGTGTGAAGACGAGTCTGGCGGACACGCCGACACCGGTTGAGACGCAGGGAGCACTTGCTCAGCTGCGAAACGGCAAGTGTGTCAATACCGACGGGACCCCGCCTGAAGTAATGAAATACGGCGGACGCGCGTTGTTGACTGCCTTGCACCATTTGGTGCAACGCGTATGGATTGATGAGCAGGTGCCTCCTGAGCTGAAGGATGCCCTTGTGCTACCACTGGACAAGGGCAAAGGGCGCAAGCAATGTTGCACGAATTATCGTGGCATCAACATGCTGAGTTGTGTGGGCAAGGTGATTGCGCGAATCGTGCTCAACCGCCTCGTCAATCAGGTTGTGAAACCTAACGTGGCGGAAGAGCAATGTGGATTCCGTTCGGGTCGCTGCACTATAGATATGGGGTTTGCGGCTCGTCATTTGCAGGAGAAGTGCAGAGAACGACACCAGCCATTGTACTCGCTTTTTGTTGATTTCACCAAAGCATTTGATACGGTGAACCGCGAGGCATTGTGGCTGGTGTTGGGTAAGTTTGGTTGCCCGCGTAAGTTTGTAAGTTTAATTGAATGTCTGCACAGTGGTATGCGAGCGAGGGTGCAGCTGAGTGGAGAGACCTCGGATGACTTTGCAGTTGTCTCTGGTGTGAAGCAACGCTGTGTCTTAGCTCCTGCCCTGTTTAATATATATTTTCATGCAATGTTGTCCTGTGCATTTGATGCCGCTTGTGCCTACGGTGTTCGTGTGGAGCACCGTATTGATGGTGGGTTGCTGAACATCCGTCATTTCGGTGCGAGAACTCTAGTGTGTGAGACAACTATCCGTATGTTGCTGTTTGCTGACGACTGTGTGTTGTTTGCACACAGCGCGGATGAGTTGCAGCACATGACTAGTGCTCTGGCTTTGACAGCGGCCAAATTCGGGCTCACCATCAACACAAGCAAAACTGTCTGTCTCTTTCAGCCTTCACCGGAAGTGCAGTCTGCAATGGTGCCGCGAATCAGCATTGGTGCTGAAGTATTGGAAACCACCTCCCGCTTCTGCAACCTTTGGAGTGTGATCTCGGCTGACCAGCAGCTACACATTGAGTTGCATATTCTTCTCGTCGAAGGCAGCGGCGGCATTCGAGAGGCTTGAGTACCGAGTGTGGAACAACCATCAGCTTACTATTGGCACGAAGCTGATGGTGTAAAAATTCATGGTGCTGTCCGTTCTTCTATACGGCAGTGAAACGTGGACGATGTACCGGCTGGACGTGCGATATCTCGAGCGGTTCCATCAACAGTGTTTGCGACGGATTTTGCGCATCGGTTGGGGCGACAGGGTTGCGGACATGGTGTTGCGCGGAATTGGAATATATGCAGTAGACTGCATACTCTTGCTGAGACACCTGAGGTGACTCGGTCTTGTGAGACGTATAGATTAGACGCGGATACCGAAACAACTCTTATATGGTCAGCTGAGTATTGGGAAGCGGCACGTGGGGAAACCAAAACTACGTTACCAGGACATGATCAAAGTGAGCCTCTCACGTTCTAAACTTGACTGCAGATCATGGGAATCGAAGGTGGTTGATCGGCGTGCATGGCGCGATCTAATCACGAAGGCAGTTGCCGAAGTGCAGGAGAAAGACCTCATACATGCAGAGAAGAAGCGGCAAGTGCGGAAGCGGCAAGCAACGATGGGTTGTACTTTATCGACATCGAGCATATGGTGCTGTGGCACATGAGGTCGCGAGTGCCTGAGTCAGGCAGGCTTAGTGAGCCATGAGCGAAGCCACTCGGGACCACTACCGAAGCGACGA